ATAAATCTGTGTCAGGGGAGACTTAGGTTGGATATTAGGAAAAGGTTCTTCCCCCAGAGGGTAGTTGGGCACTGGAACAGGGAAGTGTTCATAGCACCAAGTCTGATAGAGTTCAAGGAGCATTTGGATAATGTCCTCAGGCACATGGTGTGATTTTTGGGGTTGTGCTATGCAAGGTAAGGAGTTGGACTCGATAAATGCGGGTCCTGCCCTCTCAGGATATTCTGTGACTCTTAGGATAAATAAAAAGGAGATTAAAAAATGGAAGTTAGCAGAAAAAGAGAAATACAGAAGAGGCCATGAGCAGGTCTTCAAGTGCATATCCTAGAGCTGAAGAAAGGCAGAGGCAGCATAAACAGAAGTGCTTGAAGCTGAGCAGCACAGATAGGAAGTAATCCATCAGTCAGGACTATCAGAAAAAATTTGGCATGAATTTCATGCTACTACATGAAATTGAATCAAAATAAACAAGCAATGCATGGCAAGAAATCAAAGCAATGGTGGAGTCTTTCTAGGGATTTATGCAGCTTCTTTTAATCCATGATAAATAAAACTTATCCCAGTAAAATTTACCCCCACAACCAAACAGTTAAGCTCTTGAAACTGGTATTTGCAGACAAGAATAAATTTTTTGCTCTTTACTTGTCTTAGTTTGATATGAACAGTATAAATTGTTTGATATGATTTGTTTAAAACAGTACCAAAAACGGCTCAGCTATCAAATGTCAAGCAAAATGTGCAGAAAGTTTTATCCATATGTTCAAAACCAAAAGTGAAGCAGTGTTCTTCACAAACTAACCCATGGATGTGTGTACCTCCTCAGGCACGTATGGTTAAGTGTATGTGTGGATTCTCCTAGCAGTGCCACTGGGCAAAAAAACTCACACTACTAATTTATTTGTCAAGCTTTGCTGTGGGAAAATGGAGTGGGTTTGTGTGGCAAGGTTTGTGTTAGCAGAGGGATGCAGGGATGGCTTCTGTGAGAAGCCCCCATGTCCAGTGGATCCAAGGCCACCTGGCACCAAGATGGACCCAATGCTGGCCAAGGCATTAGCAGCAGTGGTGACACTTCGGGGATAATGCATCTAAGAAGGAGAAAAAAATCTCCTCAAGAGAGAGGAGTGAGAATATGTGAGAGGAACAGCTTTGCAGACAGACAGGTCAGTGAGGATGGAGGAGGAGATGCTCTAGGTGCTGGAGCAGAGATTCCTTTGTAGCCTGTGTTGCAGCCCATGGTGAGATCTCACAATGAAAATTCATTTAAACTAAAGCCACCTTAGTGCACTTTGTGTTTTCCAGAACACTTGACATGAAAAAATGTATTAGAAAGCCAGACTGGTGGGTGTTAATTTTGCACTTCTCAAACCAGAGATGGATTATTAGATATAGCTGGAGTCTTTATGTTGACAGTTAAATGTTGAATTCCCAGAAAAGCTGACATATTAATACTTACATGCAAAAAGTCTCATTGCTCAAGGGTTCACTTGTTTTGTCAGTGATTTCCATTGTATATACTCAGTCTCCCATGAACCAAACCAGAATTGTCACCTGAAAATTTCAGTGTGTGAAGAGTAAACAAACCCTGGCTGGTTGTTTATCATGGGATAATCAGCAATGCCATTTCTGGTCACTGCTCAAAAAAAAAATCCCCATTGAATATAAGAAAAAATGCTTGGAATTGGCCCAATTTAGACTTACAAAAACATATACATATTTGGAAAAGGAATTTTTTACACAGACTTCTGAAGTACTGCTTCAAATTTAAAGATATATTAACTGATTTAATATTCTAACTCTTCACTGAGGTTTTGTCTTGAAAAATTTTGTAGTAGACACAGTGGTGTCAGATGAAAATCGAGGTGCTTCTCTGTAATATATTTATTGCCTTTGAATGAAACACAACTGATGGTTTGGTCACAGAACTGCCAGAGGGCAGCTTGGTTTAACAAGAAGTAAACAACCAGTGACTTTTCAAGGTAACAGTGAACCTGAGGGTGCAGTTACATTTCAGCTTAAACTGATTTAGGTGATTAGTTTTTTGCCAGCAAACTGTCCTGAACCTGCTCTCTGTAGGAACACACAAGCTGGCCTTGCTGCTGGGGACTGCACTGGGAGAAGGGATGGAGTGGGACAGCAGCAGTCACGTCTTACACCAGTTTAAGATGTCATGAAAGCTAATCCTGACAAGAACAGTGCAGATTATTTCTAAGTCTGTAAAATTCTTGTTCAGATTAGGAATGCTCAGTGATTTGTGTTATTGTGTATGTTTGATTTTACCATTATCTATTTACCTATTTCACCATTTTTCCTCCTCCAATTTCACCAGCATAAGCTTGCAGTGTGCAGCAGTTGGTTTTTATGCTGCAGTCTCCAGACAGGTGTATCCTACCTTTAATATTTCAGATGAAATTTAACCATGGATAAACCATCCATGACTGCTTTAAACCACAGAAGGGAACCTGTAGGAATGACCTTCAGTTAGCTTTGCAGAGCAGAGAGCTGGGTAGCAGTTCTGGTGTAGGAACAAAAATTGTTGGGATGTTTCCAACTAAAATTTTATTTATTTTTACCTCACTGCAGCTAATTTTACAGATATGAGCAGTATGAAAGCAAATATGCTTGCAGTTAACAGCTGTTAAGCTTTAGGCACATTGCTTCAAGTGAAATGTGCAGCTGCATATGAGTTTCTTCTATCTCAGTAAACCAAATCAGCCTCAAATAAACCAGAGAAAAAGTTGTTTAGGACAAAACTAGTCCCTGTTTATCTGCAGAACACCACACATACCTTCACAGTGGGAGAAAATCACATTATTTTCTGGGCAAAGGCAGTATAGCTGATCCATAAGAGAAAACCAGCTATCAAAACATGGCAGGTACTAGGCAAGGTCATTATGGTAAAATAGATGGTTTTGTCCCAGATTTGTAATTGTGAATAATCTAGTTACAGTTAATCAAAGATTATTTTTACAGCAATGCCATCTGTGGAGGCCCGTAAAGTTGAAGGTGTCTATTGCCATTAAAATTAATCCATCTACTTTGGTAGAAAAAACAATTATTCTGCATTAAAAGGTGCATTGCAAATACGTTTTTTTCCAAGCTTCCTCGAGAAAGCCATGTAGAGATTTTTCAGTTAAGTGAAGAGTTTTATTTGTGTCCCCGTGAACTCTCAGCTGAAGCAGGAGCTAAGAGTGGTGTGCAAACCAGCCTCAGAGCAGTGGGTGGAACCCAGGCAGTCACATGTGCACAGAAATTAGCATTGTTATGAGAGGAATCTGTTTCCAACTGCCTCATCACATTCAGCATCATTTGGAAGGACTCAACCACCTGGTTCAGAAGAAATCTTGAGCCCAACAGCATTACTCTTGATGCCAGTTATGATGCTGTCTGGTCAAAAGGACTGGGCACAAGGAGGATTTGGATTGCTCTGTGAACCTTCGTAATTGTGTGGTAACCATGCAGGATGAGACACGGCAGCCGCAGTGCCCTCACATTATTAAAACATCAGATACCAAACCAACAGTGCACTTCTGGAAATGAGATTATTCAAGAAATACTGCTGCTTGAGAAAGGGAGAGACTTGGCCTCCAGCCTAGCTGCCAAGCTGACCCCAGGCAAGCAGGTGGCTAGTGATGGCCACACACTCCACCATATGGTATTCCTCAGTGCTGAGCATTGTGTTAGCATCAGCAGTCTCTACATTCATAGTGCTTTTAATTAGCATAGTGGGAAAATGAGCAAAAACAGCATCAAAATCAGTAAGTGAAATAGCAAAAGCTTCTGTGACATATAAAGCATATAAAACATTTACATTTTAGGCTGGTAATTATTGTCTTCTGATGATTGAAATATTTAAACCAGAAAAATTCCACTCAGATAAATGCAGCCAGCTCTTCATGAAGGATAACAAGTAAAGCATCCTGAGACAGACAAAAATGTGATTTCTCACAGTCTCAGGGGCTCAGTTGTTTTCTGACTTTTCCAGAGACAACCTGGAGTCCAAATCCTCCACTGGCCATGCTCTGGGGAGAGGGACCAGCCTGCTCTGTTGTTGTTGTTGTTTCCCAGTTCAGCAATCTTGTGCTGCCTTTCTCGGCAGAAGGAGTTTGAAGCCCTGGCCAACACATGCTGTAATCAGCAGCCTGTGTGTACTGGTTGCCTTTTGGGTTGACAGGCAGCCCCACTTTTAATTTGAAGCATGTTTGATTCCTCTGGATCACAGTGCAAAAGGTATCAGATGAGTGAGGTCATCTTCCAGCTTGGTTTGATACTTCCTTTGGTTGTCATTCTCACCTGCATGGAGAAAGGCAAGAAGTTACCCCTTAAGTATGACGAATTTACTTAATCCATGACTGAAATAATGAATTCACAAAGCAAAATCATTATAAATAATTATGCTTGGCTGCATTATCATACAAAGTATGATACATTGGTGTATTATTTTGTTACAAAGTATTAAGCTTATATTTCTTGTGGCATATAAGTCTTATTAACATTTCTTGCTTAGTAAATAAATAGTGGAAATGTGTCCTACCCTTCCAGTATGTCATTTTCCTTTTGTGCTAACAGGCAATTAAAGTGTTATGACATTGACAACCTCTCACTGTTTTCCACTCTGCCAGCATTGACTGCAACCTTGGAACAATAACATTCAGACCTAGAAAATTTTCTGGCTGAAGTTGCATGACATGAAGTGTGTGTTTTTATTTGCATGACTGCATAGGTATAATAAAGTTCCTGTTTTAATGGACTTGTGCAAATACCTCTCAGAGGATGCTAAATTTCTTTTCGAAGCAAATTTTGTTCCACACTGACTGAAGTGGGACCTCAGAAAAGAGTATGCTTGTTCCAAACCTAATTAAAGGTACTAGAGAAGCAGTGCTGAGAGAATCTGCCAGATGACTTGATGATGTGATCAGAGATGGTTGAATAAAACTGCCATACTGCCCTAATCATTCTTTTTCCATTTTTTCTCCCTGCTTTCCTCTTAATGTTTTTTCCAGGTGCGGTTAGAGTGGCCAACAGACCTCACAGTGAACCCTCTAGACAATTCACTGTATGTCCTGGACAACAACATTGTCCTGCAGATCTCTGAGAACAGGCGTGTGCGGATTATTGCAGGGCGCCCCATACACTGCCAGGTGCCCGGCATTGACCACTTCCTGGTGAGCAAGGTGGCCATCCATTCCACCCTGGAGTCAGCCAGGGCCATCGCTGTGTCCCACAGTGGAATCCTCTACATCGCAGAGACGGATGAAAGGAAAATCAACCGTATCCAGCAGGTCACAACCAACGGTGAAATTTCTATTATTGCTGGAGCCCCATCAGACTGTGACTGCAAGATTGATCCTAATTGTGATTGTTTTTCAGGTAAAGAGATGCTTGTTATTTCCTGTCTGTTATGTGTTGAGGTTCTCTGATAAAGCTGCAGATCAGCAAAGTAACAAGGGGAAGGAGAGACAAGCAGTGATTCCGTTTCCTTGAAAAGCCCAAAACCTTATCAGCAGATCTTTGTGAATTTAATCCATTGACTTCTGAGATGTGAGTCTTCCGTTTCCACTGGAGGAACTTCGGGATGGTCCTAGCTTTTTCTCTTTTGATACAGTGATTACACGCTATTCAGAATTATTTCCAAATCTGGCTTGCTGTGCCAGCTGCATTTGCCCCTGTTGAAGATGGTACCAAATTGTACCTAAATGCTACTGGAACAGAGGGGCTTCATATCAACACACCAGCTTATGCCTTCTCATCACTCATGTCTTGCTGCATCACCAGAAAAATGGTGCAAACATATAGTGTGCGGAATTTCTTCTTCTTTGTGTGTTTTAAATTGGAACAGCCAGTGCCAGGCCTGCAGTGCACTTCTAGACATTCTCAGCAGTAGAGCCACTCTCCCCTGCCTGCACCAGAACAAAGAGTGGCTCTCTTATTTCATAAAAACATAATGGGACAAAGGGCAGCATTCCCGTACAGAGGTGTGCAGTATGTTGCCATCTTGACATCTCTAAGAACCACCATGTTCAGCTCCATAATAATGTCATCATAATTCTTAAGCCTCTCATTTCAAGTAAAAGGTTAATTACTGACAAGAAAGCATTAAGTATGTCGAGAACGGAGAGGAAAAAATGCAAATGGTCTTCCAGAGAAGGTGGGTTGCTAACCCAGCATTGTAATGATAATCAAAGTCTCCTGTGCATTGCCAGGTGTTGCCAGCTTTAGTGGTGGCTGCAGGAGACCAGTGAGGAACAGAATTCCGGACAGGATTCCTACTGGGGAAAACTACTCTCAGTGCTGAAAAGTTAAAAAACTGTGGCAAATCTAATGTTTGTGCCAGCCTGGTTTGGTGAAAGGTGGGGTCAGCTTGGCAGAAAGATCCACTGATTTTTCCATTTCCAAGGAAGCATGCCCAAACACTTCAGTAATTTCACGTCTCAGTCAGGAGGAGAGCAGTACACACAATAATGTGGTTTTCCCTAAGAGTGAGGTTTAATATGCTTTCTTTCTAGTTACAGAAAATTCTGCTCATGTAAACTCATTTTGATAGACACATACAGCCCACAATAATGCTAAAATCCTTTTGAAACCTTAAATGACACAAACCAAGCGTAACCAAAGTAAATTGTCAAGAGATATTGAAAGGGATTGTTTCTCAAGGCACTTCTTGGCTACTGTTCTGATTTTGTTTTCCTGTAGTGTTGAGTTTTTAATAACTATAAACTAATCTTTCTTTCAGTGTCATTTTAGTTGAATTACTGGGTTTTATTTTCTTTTTGTTTACAACACAATTCTACTTTAACAACATGCCAACAGACTTTAAGTAGGGAATGAAATGTCAGGTATCATGGTCTTTTCTTTCATAATTCTGCATTAAAGCTTTCCTTAACAGCAGGGTTTGGGACTCAGCAAAAATGCTGTAAATTAGATAATTTATATTCCTGTTTGTCTTCAGTGAGAATTGTAATTCAGTGAGAATTTAGAATTGTACCAACCTTGGATAATAGGGATTTAATTAGTTGGAAGAGGATATTGTTTTATTGACCTGTAAATGATACTGAGGAGAAGCAGTGTGTCAGGCTTAGGGGATCAGCTTAAACAAGGACATTAGAGATTGCTAAAATTACCGCTTCTCCTCCAGGTGATGGTGGATATGCCAAAAATGCGAAGCTGAAAGCACCTTCTTCCCTAGCAGTGTCTCCCGATGACACGCTGTACGTGGCAGACCTGGGCAACGTGCGCATCCGCGCCGTGAGCCGGAACAAGGCTCACCTCAGCGACACCAATCTGTACGAGATCGCCTCACCTGCTGACCAGGAGCTCTACCAGTTCACCATCAACGGCACCCACCTGCACACGCTCAACCTCATCACCAGGGACTACATCTACAACTTCTCCTACAGTGGGGAGGGGGATGTTGGCACCATCACCAGCAGCAACGGGAACTCGGTTCACATCCGCAGGGACACGAGCGGGCTGCCCCTGTGGGTCGTGGTGCCGGGGGGCCAGGTCTACTGGCTCACCATAAGTAGCAATGGGGTTCTGAAAAGGGTGTATGCCCAAGGCTACAACCTAGCCCTTATGACATATCCTGGAAACACGGGGCTTTTAGCAACCAAGAGTGATGAAAACGGATGGACAACTGTGTATGAGTAAGTCCATGCCATTAAATGCCTAGTGCAAGGAAGCCTATTTTAAATGAGCACTGAAACTTTTTTTAGTTAGTTCTAGTCATTTAAAAAGAAACCCTCCTACTAACACTGTGTGAGACAGGAAAAGCAGTTTTGTTGCACAAGCTTTTAAAACAAAGCACTGTCATTTCTTAGGTGCTTAAACTTGTCATATGTAAATGCTCTGTGCACTGTGCCTGTTAAGTACAGCAGAAATTGCCTGAAATTACACTTCATTTGCTCTTTCTTGTTGTGAATCTGTTTCTCTAAATGAAAATATGATTTTTTTTTTTGTAACTTAAGTGGTACAGGGAAGTTGTGATATGAGTCAGGAATTTGCAAATTCCTGAGGAGGGCAAAAAGGGGAAAATTAGCATACTCATCAGAGAAGGGAGTGTTGCAAAGAAAATTTAGAATCTCAGTGGAAGGAATATTCAAAGACAAGAGTGAGCTTGTCACTATCAGCAGAGGTAAAGATATATAATAGCAAAAGGATATGTTATAGCAAAAGCCTATATATAAGGGGAGTAGGAAAGGCTTCATAAACAAGACCATTGACAGAACTTCTAAAAAGCAAGACAAGGCAGTAAAAGATGAAGTCAGAACATCCCAATCTGGTCCCAGAGAAAGAACAACCCAAGAGAAAGTTCATTTTTGATTTATAAAGAGGTGTGTTGTATCCGGATTTCTGATTATTCATAATTAATTGTCATAATCCCTGTTGGAGGATGCAATAAGTGCTGGATGGAAATCATGTTCCTAGTTCAGAGTCCTTAAGGAGGATAATGGTGCCTGATTTCTGTGGAACGTAGGAGTTCATGTCCCAAAATTAAAATGAAAATGGTCCGGGTGAGATTGGAACAAAAAACACATTGATAGGAAGGGAGTTACTGCCTGAGTCACCTGAAGAGGTAGTTGTGTCCCTGTCATTACAGGTTTTTAGAACTACAATTTCTTCAAACAAAAGTAGGATAAAAGCAGAGAAAGTGCTACCTAGTATGTGGATTTTTATTCAGCAGGATGTTTCTTCATCCTGTTCTCTATTATTTTGCCAAAGACTAAATTAATAGGGTGGGCATAAGTATAAGCCATTAGAGAGGGCCTTTTTTACAGTACATGGGAAAACAAAAGCATACAGGATCTTCCTGATTCAGTTATCATTATCAAACATCTATTGATGGAAATTTAAACTCTCTTGCAACAGCACAAAGCTCACTGTTACCCTGGCACTGTTCAAACACTGATCAGAGTCACCTTTTATAAACAGAACTGACTGTAAATGTATGTATGGTTCTTTTTAATAATTTCAGTGCTCAGAGTTAGCCATTTATATCCCCACTTGATGATGGTGTCAGTCCAGGCCACGGACCAATGACACTTTCAAAGAGCCTTTAGAGTAGCTCCAAGTCATGTCTATTAAAATGCTGAACAGCAGGCCTTGTAGCAAGGCCTTGATTGTTAGAGCATGGGAGAGCAGAATATTTTTAGTCATGTGCCTTTCAGTCCTGACATTCTTACTCTGTCCCACTGACATTGAGCATAAACCGTTTCACACAACTATTGCTTTTTCCTCTTTTTAAAGTACGGCTCAAGTGTTGAAAGATCTTTTAAAGGACTTTACCTGCTTACAAGCGCCTCCCGCTGTATGTAGTACAGATCTATTCATGAAGTACCTGTGCCTGGAAGGATTTATATGATGTATATGGTTAACACAAAGAAATTCTGCTAAATTATACAGTTTAACGTACTTCCCCAGCTTTAACTGCAGGCTGGGTAACACTGTCCTCACCAATGCTTTGAGTTGTCCAGGCTTTGCATGATCACACATTCCTGCCAGCTTACATCAGTCAAGGAAAAGTAACATAATTATAACTTTAGCATTACAAAAACAGCAACAAAATTAAATAATGTCAATTAAATAAAATCATGTCATTAATATTTATGTTCAATCCAATATCTGAAGTAATTTTCATGATACATTACAAATTCCTCAATGACTGAAACACAGAATGTCACCTGATCTGCTCCAGTCAGAGGGGCAGTGGGCTGTAAGCACCTCTGTGCTGAACATTTGTGCTTTCAGGAGATGCTGCTCACCTGCTGCCATGAATAGGGCTGTGATGGCTTTAGTTGTCTTTTACCCAAATACTGTTTTCCAGGGAGGTCACATTCTGTGCTGACAGCCAGTTTCAGTTTGAAAGTTAGAATTTTTTGAAGGGTTTATTTATATATATGAATTGCTTGTGAGCATCAATGATAATTGGAACTTCCAAATTGCATGAAGTCATCTTCTGTGCTTAAGCTAGATTTGCTTTCACATCCAAAAGTTCAACCCATGGCACTGTCAAGCTGAAATAGGGATGGGTTTGTTTAACAACACATCACACATACTTGGGAATATGAGCAAAGATAATGACCTGTTCAGAACATCTACCTGTATGTCAGATTCACTCGCAGAGGGAAATTATTAAGAGGTAGAGAACCACCTACAAAAGTACTTGTCATCCATCTACTCTAATCTGATGGAACTGAAGTGCTGAAAGACCTCTTGCATACAATTATAGCTAATGTACAATTTTAAGTCATCTAGATTTCTTTTAATATTGTGTCATTAAAGCTGTAAAAGGGGAGGGGAAGCAATGGGCCTCTATTAAATCAAGGACAAGAAAACACCTGCAAGAAACAACTCTCTCTGAAAAAATTAATTAGACCTCTTTCCCTTTGAAATGATATAACTCTTAACTGCGCTACACATAGAAATGCAAATGGATTGTGAAGCAATATCCCCATGTGTGCATTTCAAAAACTGGTGAGCACTTCCTCATGTGAGTACTGAAATCAATGCAATTATTTGCGTGATTAAATGGTCACTGACATGATTAACAGTGGCATAACTGAGCCCCAAATTAACATAAAGAAATATGTCATGATTCCACCTCTATTAGTATGGGTAGGACATTGCAGGAGCTGAGTCCCAGTGTACTGCTATTCATCATGTGGAAGATGACAGAACCTGTACAGAGGGCTGAGTTTCTTGGAGCAATTGGAAAGTAAAAAAAAACCCTTTAGATGATCATGCTGTGAAATCAATACTGAGACACTCTTCTGCATGTCCTCCTTGAAGTCAGAGGGACCATATGCATGAGTGAGAGGCCTCTGGTGTGTGTTTGGGTCTCATTACAAGTCAGCACCTATCTGGCCAGCCAGCCAGGAACAGTTTATCCCATTTTCAGCTAGACAGGGAGTTTTGTATCTCAGCAGCAGCACTATCAGCAGCAGAACTGGATCCTTAGTCAAGATGGATCCTGTGTCTTGAGCACAGGTACATTGCAATAAAACAGCTGTATTTGCACCTTAAAAATGCAGGTTTGGGGGATTTTCTGTGGTACAGTAGCAAATCCAAATAACCTACCAAGCTGTCATACCTGTCTGATCAAGCAGTAAATGAAATATAACTGCCTGATGTTTGTGGAGTTTTCTAATGATGAAAAGTAGTGATCTGAGTCAATTTTAATCGCTGCCTGTGGCACCCAGTCAACTTGCACAGAACCAGCATAAGGAGAGAATGCAAATAAGTCATACAATATATACAAGGGCAGGTGAAAAGGAGAGAGATTATTTTGAATGTAATGTTCGATTAATTTTAACTTATTTGTCAAAAAACCACAAGATGGTCCCTAGTTCATTCTCCAGTGTTTAATTGAAAAATAACAGCTGCTCTACTTTTTTTTCATATTGGAGGGAAGACAAAAAATCCTGATTTTTTTTTTTCTCTGATACTTCTTGTGACATGTAGATTTTGTCTGACTAATTAGGGTCAAATAAAGATCCTAAAGAAATTATGTCAATACCTTAAAGGGAAGGACAAAGCCAGATCATCTGCTGATGTGATTTGGAAAAGCTTAATTGGCAACAGTGCAGTTCCACCAGCTGATATACCAGTTTGGTCTGTGAGAGGAAACAGCTAATAAAACATGAAAACTTAATTATGCTTTCATACCTGCACGATAAATTTCTGTTTTATGAACACGAGTTGGTTTTGTTCATGCAAATACTCTGCACTATCACTGAGTTGTCTTAGGTGAATAAAAACATGTCAGCATCAATAAGATTTTTAAGATGTGAGGCATTACGATGAAACAATATCAAGCACCAAGCAATACTCTGTGATGGTTTCCATGTGAACCATCAGAAAGAAGAAATATGTTGGTAGAACTGAAAAGACCTGTTAGAAATGCTGCTTCAGAGCTCTGGAATTAATTATTGACTTTTTCGAACATAGCCAGATTAACAGTCAAGTACCTTGAGCTAAAAGAATTTCTTCTGCACTGATGAAATTTAAGTGAACTGAAATGTGGTGCTGTAGATGCTAGGTGAGAAGTTCCTGCTGATTTAAGTAGACCCATGGGAAACAAAACACAAGAGCAAAACCCATGTAGGCAACTTATTTCCTGCAGATTCAATCTAATTTTATCACTGTTGTTATGCTTTACGTCCCCTTTTTACATTCACCACTCATATTAATGTGCTTCACACATCTGTGACAAAAGGTATCTTTTAAGTGTTGCAGAAGGAAAGAACTGGTTATATTTAATCATACGGATACAAAAATGCTGTTTTAGGGGTGAGTTGGATGCCTGACCACCGAGTGACCTCCAGTGGCCTTGTTCCTACATCGCAGCCCACTGGGGGAAACCCCAATCAGCTGTGAGCAGCACAGAAACCTCTGGCGGAGGCTGAGTGATGTAGGTAACATCTCGTAGTATTCCCAGTTGTATTTGATCCAGCACAACTGAAAAAGACTCCAAGCAGTCATTTGGACTAGGTACTGAATGCATTTTGAGTTACTAAATTGACCAATTACGTTTTTTACTTAGTGCACAGTGTTGAAAATGCTTTGTACTTTTTCACTACTTTTTCTTCTTTTAGGAGTATCTGCACAGCAATAGTGTTTTTATGGCTATTTAACATAATTTTGCAGGTATGACTCTGACGGCCACCTGACCAATGCAACCTTCCCGACAGGGGAAGTCAGCAGCTTCCACAGTGATGTTGAAAAACTGACACGAGTGGAACTTGATACTTCAAACAGGGAGAATGTGATCACAGCCACAAATTTCTCAGCTACCTCTGCAATATATACGTTAAAACAAGGTAATAAAAGCATTTTTGTTCATGTTATTTCTTCCCTAATCATTGTTTCAAACCCTAGACATTACTGCATTTTAAACTGTCAGCCAAAAAAGGTGTTAAAAGTAGTTCATTTGTTTCTTCCTTGCTTCAGCACAAAGAGCTATAATTCTCCTGGGCTACCAGTTAGAAACAAGCCACAAGTTAATTCTTCTTCTTCTAGAAGAATCCAATGGATAAAATCTAATTATTGAAATCTCTGATGTCTCCAGGCTTTACATGCTACTTTCTGCTCCAGCAGACTTGGACTTTCTGCTTGGAGGACTTGGGCAAACCTGTAATACACTGAGCTTTGTTTTTCTAAGATGTACTTGAAAGACAGGTCCCACTGATGTTTTAACACTGAAATGCTTTGTTTGGCCAATACTGTGTGTTCTTTCTGGTAGTTCTATGACCTGGTGACAGCACTTGTAGGAAGGGGGAGAATGTTGCCCACCTCTGCTGGTGGCTGCCTTGGGGATGAGATTTTGAATCAACCCCTGTAGACACCACAGTATATCCCTGGTAGTATCATATATCTCAAAAAAACCCCCTGCTTTCTACCTAATGGAAGTGCCCCAGTGTCCTCCTCCAGGTTTTGCAGATTTATCACCAGAGTTCTGGTTTACATAGTTTAATCGATCTGGGGTCTTATGTCCTTGTTGGTTTTTTTTTGTTGTCAATGGATTGTTCAGGCTTTGAGAGAGCAGTTGCTGGGAAATAGCTCTCTGATGTCTTTCCAGGTGTGTTAGAAAAAAGATTTTTAACTGAGCACATCACAGAACTTTTCTTTCTCTCAAGTTTTGATCTATAAGAAAGAACTAGGAAGAACTCACAAGATACCCACTCATTTCTCTTTACTATTAGGTAGTAGAGACAGCACTGCATAAATAGAAATAATTATTTTGTTCTGTCACCTGTTAGGCTTTGTCCGAGTGACTCCATCTGCTCTCTGCCTCATCTGCTGCCTGATCTGTCTGTCCTTAAATCTGAAACGCTTCAAAGTTGGTAAATTATCAAAGTCTGTCACAGGAAAGTGCTTGCACACAGCAGGCAGTGCCAAAAACTAACAGCTCTAGTTATTATTGTATGTGTCATATAAATTCATATAATTTACATGTTTACATATCTCTAAGAAACTAGCACAAAGCACTGTGTGAACAGCCAGTCAGGTGTGGTATCCTTACATCCAATTATCTTTACTTTCTGGCATACCCTACTGTTTTCCTTGTACTCACATCTCAAGAGCTGGACCTGTTACTTCTGTGTGGACTAGCTTAAAAAAAAAAGGATGCTTTGGATACTCCCTAGCTGGAGTGAGTTCAGTCTCACTGTAAGGGTGAGACTTTTGTATGTTAGCACTAACAAGTTGGAGTTCCCCCTGGCAGCTGAGCTGCATGAACCTCCGTATCCCAGCCTGAGCAGATGCCAGACAGTGTGGCCCAGCTCTGCCTGCAGAAGAGGAATTACACTGCCCAGACAAGGGAAAGGAGCTCCAGCATCTGTTGCCTTCATATACTGTCAGTGGAGACCTGCTCTGGACCCTCCACATACTTCTGGTAGTTTTGGGGAGAGGAAGGCTGTACTGGGTCACTCCAGCTCCCTTAACAGCCCTCTGTGGCACAGTCCTGGGCCTCTGGAGCTGCTCACTGTGCCGCCACCGCTGATCATTAATTTTTCTGCCAACAGTCACTTCCCAGTTGGTCTGTTCCACCAGGCTTCAGCCTTGTGGCTGATCATCCCTGTGCCTCAACCAGGGTCCTGCTGCTAATGGGGAGAGGATGAGCTTTTTGTACAATGACACAGGGAAAAGGGACAGAATGGGAGACTGGCTGTCATCCCAGATATTTGGAAAACAGCTTTCTTGTTTGACCTCAGATACTCTTGCAGTTGTTCAAGCAGTACATTTTCCTGTTGGGATCTGCTAAAATCATCACAATATCGGTGGTCAATACACAGCTTATGGTTTTACATACTTTTAAGCTGAAAGCAAAAATTCTTTATTCCTGCTGCAGGAAACCTTCACAATGGAAGTCATCAGGCCAAATGTAATAAAAAGCTATTCAGACTTAGGAAGGCCTGGGGGTTACAGCTTGCAAAACTCACACTGTAGTTTGTGTTCAGCTGTCTGTAACCTCCCGGGGTTACAAACTCAGCCTGTTGCGCCTAACATTTGGTTTATAAATCTGGAGATCTGAACTTCTCTCTGTTCTCTGATTTTTGTTGTTCTTTGACAGATAACACACAGAACATCTACCGGGTCAGCCCAGATGGGTCTCTGAGAGTCACCTTTGCCAGTGGAATGGAAATCACGCTTAACACGGAACCTCACATTCTAGCAGGGGTTGTCAGCCCCACATTAGGAAAGTGCAATATCTCCCTTCCTGGAGAGCATAACTCAAATCTCATTGAATGGAGGCAAAGGAGGGAGCAAACCAAAGGCAATATCTCTACATTTGAGAGAAGGCTAAGGGTAAGGCTTCCTCTTGTGTAAGTGCAGTGTTCCCTTTGAAAGTCATTGAACTGAAATCATGTTGAAATACTATACTTTCTAAGAATGAAAATTTTGTATCAGTGGTGGGCCCCAGCCATGAATTTCAAAACTCAACTCCTCCAACAGTCGCAGGGATGTTTGATCTCTGCTTGATTTTGATTGTAAGATTTGACCTCAAGACATAATTACTTCTTTTCTTCCTCTTCTTTTTCAACTAAGAACTTAATTATGGCTTTGGAAGAAGCTGTGAGCAAAGGACAGTGCGTAGTAACTCTGGCACAACAGCAAAGTTGGAGCCACATTTTGCCTCTCTCAGATCTATCAACCCTCTTTTTTCTGGGGGAGCTAAGGGGTGCCAGCTGCTGCCCAGGGCAGAGGCTCTTGCAGAAAGCACTTTGGGTGTCCTGGCCAGTGCTTTTCCTGCGACTCAGAGCAATGTAGAGCCTCCCTGTGTATTCAGACAGGCTGTGTATTAATTCTGCCCTCTGCCACATGCTCTCAAACCCCCAACTCCCTCTGGCTGGGTTACACCACAGCTCAAAAAAAGACTTGCTTTAACAATGCATCGTTGGTTTATTTTTACCTGTGAGTACAGTGACAGATGGTCAACATTTAGCATGCAATTACATAACACCATGGCTCAAAGAGATTGCTACTTTGCTAAACAGGTTTTTTTATTAAATCAGTTCTGGTTTTCACATGAATAGCACTTAAAATGCCTGCACTAGTAGTACAACTGGGAATTTTTGCCTTAAAAATATTCTGTTATTGACTACAACCTTTCTGGATAGGATTTATGTATGAAGGTACCTGTTAGCTCTGAAAATATATATATATATGATTATTAAAATCTCTGGATTGTCAAAACCACCAAAATCAAAACCAACTCATTTTGATTATGAGATACTATAGATTTTTTTGGAAGTGTACCATCTGTTTGCTTTTCAACTGTTCAATCAAAAATGCAAGACTTGTAAGATCTGGCCAGACTGGATACTGTATGTAAAACACGTGTTTGAAATGCCATTGTTCAGATTTGACAGTCACAGTTACTTTTTAGGATATTGCAAGTGGGCAAAAACTTATTTTAGTTTTTCTTGCCCATCTTCTGCCTCCTTCCTCTCTAAATTAGTGTGAGGCCTCTAGTCCCGTCTGGGGAGGTAGCTGAACTTAGCACCATGATAAACATGTTAAGATGGTAGGATCCAAACTCTGGCTTCCTTGGCTTATGTTGCTTGCTCAGTTGGAGGCTTTCTGTGTGACTTTGTGCTTAAATAACTGTATGGCATTTTTTTCTACAAGTATCTTATGTAATAAGCTCATAAAGAAAGGATGTAGTCAGTCGTCTATTCTGCTTACATTGCCAGGGACTAGTTGTTTATCACAATTCTATTTAATACAACTACTTCATCTTGCAGAGTTTCACCATTATGCAGTTTGTATTTTGTGTTGTTGAAATTGATTGCACTTTCTTTTGCATTTTCGCCTGTTTCTATCTATGTGATCTTTAACACTGCCTGGCAAAAAAAAAAACAAAGGAAATTCACAAATTGTTTAGGATTAAATGCATTCTGGCTGGAGGCATAAGATGTGTATTGAAATGTTGCAACATGGTATGCAGAGGTCAGCTGATTGACCTGCCTCTGGAATAGGCTGTTGGTGGACAAATCCACTCATGTATTCCTCCTCCTCCCCCTTCCCCTTCATCCAGAGAGAGGATGGAAGGTGAAAGACAAGCATAAGAATAATTTTGGTATGCTGATGTCTTTTATTCTTTGTCCTTCTAAAAGTATGCACTAGCAACATAGCTCTTGAACATCACATTCGTATTTCTGTAAGGTATGTCTTTTTATACCTATCCAAGATCAAGAGGACTTATGAATTGTCCCTGCCTGCTCAGAAGAACAAGCCAGCTGCCTGTACTGCAGTCCTGACTGTTCTGACTCCCGTGGCTGTACTGAGCTCTAGCGCTGTTTTTCTGACAGCTGTCAGGGCAAGGCTGGAGGGAACCTGGTGGGATAGCAGAGGTTCCTCTAAAAGGAGGATTTTAGAGTGGAAAGGAGGGGAAATGTTAGAATCATAGAATCATTTATATTTGAAAAGACCTCTAAGATCATCAAGTCCAATTGTATTCTGTACAAAGGAGACACCATGTAAATAAGGCACAAGGGAAAGGGACAGACAGACTACTGAGGTGGGTAATACCATGAAGAAGGACTTTAGAGAATAGCAGAAATAACTGGATCCTGGAGTTCATCTTTATCATGGAGATGCCTGCATGGTATGCTGGTGGAATGGAGAGTCAGTGGAGATGGAAGGAACTGGAACAATGCAGCAAAGGAATCTACCCAGAGGCAGCTCTCTTATCTTGGTGATTATAGAAAATGCTGCACAGCAGGAACAAAAGTACCATTCTACAGTGTGTTTGGAACAGTATGCCAACTAATGAAATGAATTTAGGACTTACTGTGGACAGATCCTTGAGTACTGCTGGGAAAGAAAAAGATAGCATCATTGGAAGTCATGCTGGACGAGATTCTGGGCAGACCTTCTGTAAACTTTTAGTGAGTTATATTTTTAAAATAAAGTATTTAAACATTTAATATGCTATGCCTGGCACAATAAGAAGTGTGTTAGAAAGCTTGCAATGTAGGGCAGGAAGAACTGTGCTGAACTTTGAAAATATATGTAAAGAAAAGCTCCAGGGATTGGAGCAGTTCTCAGTGGAAATGAACAGACTTGCAGGAGCCTCAGTTAAAGAAAAAATACAGCACAATGGAAGAGTTTTCTGAGAAAGAAGAAAAAAAAAAAGGCATAGAAATGAGGTATAAAGATGTTACTTAGAAATCAATCCTGATACCATCAGTGAAACAAACGGCTTTGACTGCTAAAAGGTATAAATTAGAAGGCAGGTAGCTGGGGATGAGATAAAGGATGACCTACTTGAAGAGGAGAAAGAGAATAAAGCTTTTCCATCTCTGCCTGGTCCTACCTTTTTTTGATTCTAATAGCAATTAGCAACCATCTTGAAAGCATGTCACTCTATTAGTGTTATTTCCAGTTTTGGAAAGAGGTCACTGTTAGCATGTTCTGAATAATGCTGGAAACACTGGATTTTAAAAAATTTGACTTCTGCATGATGTGAATTCTGCTCTGGAGATAGGACAGAAGTGAGTAAGTTAACTGAAATGCTGGAACAGTCAACTTTATCTCAGGGTCTAAATCAATTAGGGAAACAGAAATTAACCACAGGTTTCCTTTAAGTGAAGAACTGCTTGCCCCAGCACTTCCTGAACGTATATAAAACAGTCTGTGGGCATGTATGCATTTTATATTAATAATAAATCTATGTACAATCAGGCATTTTAACATCAATCTTAATCTAGCAAGATTTCTTTTTTATCAAGAACTGCTATTTTAATTGACTTCTAAAAATGAAGCAAAGACTGCTGTTAAATCTGATGAGCATGATGCATAGTAATACACTGATTAGAATGCAACTCTGCTCCCTCCTGACTTTTGCATAACTTGAGGAACGTGGCATTGGATGCAGTCCAGGTTTTATAACTAAGTGTCTACAAAATTGAAAATTGAATGCTTGGCCAGTCTTACTTATTTTTGCTTTTTTTTTTTTTTTTTTTTTTAATAACAAGAGAAGTAACTCACTGGCCTCATTTCAAAAGTCCTGCAGACACAGGCTTTAACAGCCATGTTCATTATTGCATTTAGCAAATTATCTGCCTTTATTTACCAGTCTTACATCAAATTCTAAAGATGGGACCAAGTCCTCTGCCGGGGTTATATGAGTTTGCCTTGGCTCAAGTCAAAACACAGACAAGGAAAGAATGCAATTATCTCATCTGACTTACACATCAGGCAGGGTGGGCAGGATATGCTTGGAAATTAAATCAAAAGAAGTGCGCATTTATGTGGTATTTACCCTGCAAGGTTTCTAGCTAAAAAACTGAAACTGGAACTAGAGTCAATAAATGTTTAATAAATATAGAATAAATATATCTTTTTATGCACTTCTAACATTATTGAAGTCAGCTGAATTTTCTCCCTATTTTCATTAGCTGGTATTCCAACCTGACATTGCTTTCAGAAACCAGTTTTTCCTGGCTCGTAGCAGAACACAAGTTCCAGCCACTCTCAGGGGGCTCCTTACTATGGTTTATGGATCTTGGAGGAGTCGTTTCATGAAGCCACTGGAATTTGAAATCAGCTTGTCAATAGCAACATTGGGATGAGTCCTTCTACCCATTTATGATCCTGTCTTGCTTTGAGAATGGTGTTAAACTTAACTTTAATATAAGAAAGTAAACAAATGAGACATAAAATGTGCAATATAAGGGAAGTATTTTAACCTTATTTTAACTCCGTGAGTTTTCAATTACTGCTGCTTTCCACTTCACTGCTAATTCTGCCTCTGTTTGGTTTTCATTCTTATTTGTTGTATAGTCCCTGAAATTCAGATTGCAAGCAATTTGTATTTGAGGCTCTTCTTTGTCCTAGCTGCATTCTACAGTGATAATAATAGCAATAAGAACATTAAACATGTACATAGAACACAAATTAATATGACATAGGAATATACCTCCTGCTTGCTTTTCAGTTGTTTTGCTGCCAAGAGGATTTTTTTTCAGAAATTTTAAGAAGTTTCAGAAGTTTGATAAATTATGTTAAACCTAAACCATCAAGCAAGTATAAAAGCAAACGCAGTTTAACTGAGCATCACATTTTACTATCATTAGAGCATAAATTGTAATAGTTACAGCACTCTACAGGGGTATATAGGTATTTTACAGCTATTGTAAGTGAGCACCATTAGACGTGTGTGTATAGAGCCCCAAAAATGGTAGTTGAAGAAAGAACACCTGTTTCTTCTAGATTCTCAGATTATTTTGTATCTAAAAACAGAGGAATGGAAAAGAAAAGTTCATCCTAATCACATCTTGAATTATTAACCAAGGTTTATTAACCATTTACTTCCTGCCTGTGCCTCCAGGTCTCAGAGAGGAGCAAGCACTGAGCCATGCTTTGTGCTGACACCTGCTCTGGCATTATCTGTGCTGCAAGGAAGTTATTAATGAGAATAGAGTGATCAGATAAAATGTGGTAGATTAATGCAACAAGCACATTGAGCATTGATCTGAAAAAGACATGTCAATGAACAATATTTTATGGTTCTCTGAATTATATATCTGATTGAAATGGTGTTTAATAGAGATTTCCCAGTGACTGAATGATCTAAGGAGGCAGATGATGATAGCACTGGATAAATGTATTTTGTCTTCATGAATCTGACTCAGTTTTGAACTTGATTTCAAATTGAGCACTGGGCTGTGTTCCATCTGTCAGACACAGCGAGCTGCTGGTCCCAGATGTGGTGAGAGCTGCAACAAGAAATATGGTGAGTACCAGGCACAGCTGCTGCTGGCTTTCAGGAGTCTGGGAGTGAGGTGTTTTTGTGAGGAAGGATGAGGACACTGGTGAGCAGGGTTTGCAGGAACTGCAAGCACAGCTCTGCCCTTTGCAGCACCAGGATGTGAGCTGGGCTGTGAGGGCTGTCCCAGAGCAGCAGCTGACCTGTCAGTGTTAACAGAGCTCAAGAGAGGATGTGAGATAGTAGATCTTTCTTAGTTCATGGGCTTAACTACACATTTTTGGCTGGAATAAAGAATTTTATCCACAGCTGAGAAGAAGAAAAATTCAGGAAAAGGTGAGAGCAGAGGTGAGGGTTTAGCACATGGAAACAATCTGTAATGCCAAATACAATAACACTGAATGTAAGGAACAATTTTTTTTTTTTTGGTCCTTCTGTTTCTCATCTGAATCTTTTGTATTTTCTTGTCTTCGGTAAGGCCCAAGTCACAATGTTAAACCATTGCTCACTTTGATTAGGGCTGACACAGACATGTCTGTGTTGGGTATGCTTAGGATGCATTGTATTCTTACCGTATTGTATCTTTGTGTTTAGACCCACAACAGAAACCTGCTCTCCATTGACTTTGACCATGTCACCAGAACAGGAAAGATTTATGATGATCATCGAAAATTCACTCTTCGAATTATGTATGACCAGACAGGACGCCCCATTTTATGGTCCCCCATCAGCAAGTACAATGAGGTCAATATCACTTATTCACACTCTGGATTAGTCACCTATATCCAAAGAGGAACCTGGACTGAGAAAATGGAATATGATCCAAGTGGGAACATCATTTCCAGAACATGGGCAGATGGTAAAATATGGAGTTACACATATCTAGAAAAGGTAAATTATTTTAAAAGTGGGGTTTATGCCAAGGCAAAAAAAAAAATTTGGTTTATTATATTATATATATTTATTGTATAAATACTTTAAATACTATAAATTATAAATGGGTATTATATAATATATATATAAAAATTTATTTATTTATTATATTTTGAACTACATTATAATGCTACCTCTTGCAAGACTGTTTAAGACTTTTAAACCAGAAAATGCATAGAATTACATAACTAGATAAAAATGTCTCTGGATATGCTCAGACCTACATGTCACCTGCTCAAACCTTCAGTTTAGTTCTGAAGAAAGTTATCAGCACCACAGGTTTGTTTAATTGGTAGGTCAAAACAACATTCTGGTCTCAGTCCAAGTTCAAGTGAACAAAGGACACCCTAACTGCTGAAAATCGTGTTGCTACCCTGGATAACAGTCAGAAAGATAACAGTCCTGAAAGATAACTTTTTTCCTCCCCACAAACACAGTTCTTTTATGCCAAAATTAGGAGCCCATGAGCACAAGCTTACCTGTTCAGTGCTGTATGTTAAACAAGGGATTGATCCTGTGAGGAGAAAGCTTACTGCAGTATTTAAGGCAGGTGGGGGGGGGCATTTGGGGGGGAAATATTCATATGAAATGAGTTACTGCTCTGCTTTTATGATGACTTCACATCTAAATTCCCTGAATATTTTAAGTTGCATGTATATCTAGAGGCAATGGTCATAAAATGTAGAGATAAATATTGTACAAACCAAGGAGGAACATCTTCATCTGTAGTAACATTTTGTTTGGTCTTGTCTTTCAAAACTAAAAAGCTAGTCTCTATTTTTAAAGCTTTCAGAACTCAGTGCAAACTCATGCTCAAAGTTTTTTAAATAGGAACATCTTGGAATATCCAATATACCCTGAGTTAGCAGAACATTTTCTCTGAACTTGTAAACCACAGGAAAAAGGCTATGGGGGGTGGGGGCAGAAGAGGTAACATTGATAGGAGGAAATCACACAGGAAATCCAGTGACTTTGAAGTTACTTGTATATTGAAGAGTTCCAAATGTGTACTTTTAAGATAAATTGTGCTGTACTTATTTTGAATGTATTTAAGCTTGATCCTCAAAAAATTTAAACCTAACCCAGTGAAAAAAAAACTATCAAGACTGGAAAACGCATAAAAATGTGATTCCTCCTTGACTGCATGCAGCGTGGTTCTTGCATGTATTAGCAAGATTGGCAACCCCAGGAGCTTCAGAAGTTTGTTTCAGATAAATTTGTTAGGGCTTTTTTGTCTGTATGCTCTTTTGCAAATTACAAGTAAACAGACATTTTGTACAGCTTTCAAATATTTGGGCAATGTGCCTTTTGGAGGAATCTCTTTTTTTTTTTTTTCTTTGGACCTATTTTTGAAAGATGTATGCTTCTTATCTTTCCAGACCACTTTGTCTGTTCTTTATGATGAGCTCATAAATAGAGTCTTATAACTTAATGCTATTATTCTAGAATTCTACACAAAAGGCCAAATCCTGATTTTGCAGAAGCAAGTGGCAGAAGTTTACTGATTCAGGTAGTAGCTTGGGTAATGCTGTAACTTGTCATTAAAATTATAGAAAGTCATTCAGACGATGGACAATAATCTCCCAGCTATTTAATGTACTTTCATGACTGTTGTTCCTTGTGCCAAAGAAAGATGAATTCACTGTCAAAATTAGACATTGAAATATAGCTTTGTGGCTCCATTAAAGTCAATAACTCATTGTGTTAATTATGTAATGATTGCTAAAGGTTGTCTGAAGCCTTGTAAGACCAAATAATTCCTTACATGAAAAAAAAAATCAATTATATAGGTTGCTTCCAATTCATAGTTATTTAATTCTTCATTTTTATCACTTGATGAGTTAACTGTACATCTTCAAAAATCTCTGCCCCTTAGAAAATTAGCTCAAATAATTAAGATCTTAAAAATCATTACAGCATTAGCATTGTAAATAATTCTTACTGATGAGATTCAGCTTGGCCAAAACTGAATCTCAAAGATCAAGCAAGATCTCTTGTTTCCTCTATTAGTTAATGCTGTTATAAAATCTCCTGAATACTCCCAGCTCACTTCCAAAATCTGGCAGACAAAACAGATGAGTGTCTGTGTGTGTCTTTTGGGCAGAAATGACATCTAGTGGTGATGCTCAGCATTTGTCTATTCCCAGCAGAGCTCCCAGTAATTGGCCACTGGCTGTTTATCTTGATACACCATACGGCATCAATCATTATGTGGTTGACCAGGCTCTGGTTGCTTTAATAAAATGACAGATTTTTGGATGTTTTATGAGCTACCCTCCGAAATCCTTTAAAACAATTAGAACCCAATTTGTGCAGAGTTGAAAAATCTATTGTAATATTATTAGAATGAATTGGGAATTAATTTTTTTTTCCCTTTATGGTATCATTTAATAGGCTTGAGAAGGTACTCAATCTCCAGCCCTTGTACTGTCTATCTTTTTACTATCCTGGACAAAAGTGAAAAAGCCACAAAGTGCTGTAAAAATGGTACACAGGGGCACTAAAATTATATTGGGGATGTTTCTGATCTTGTTATTCATACTTTGTCAATGGCAGACAGCTTAAAAACAGGCACGGGAGCAGTATATAGAGAGAGGCATCACAGCAGTGCTAGGAGAGAGTTCAGCCAGTGATTTACTGCAGACTGGAGACTCTTGACTGAAGGTGAAAACAAAATAAACACGGTGCATGTTGGAAATGGTTGGTGGAGCAGCAATAAAGTGATCAGAAAATGCTCGGTGTGAAGGTCTGTCGTCACCAGTTGGCAGAGAGTGACCTGGAGTGGCATATGTTGGTGCTGTCTGGATGCTATACAGGTGACAGATGTCTTTTGCTACGGGCAGGAAGAGACACATCTTGGGCAGGCAGGGGGCTGGGGGTGCAGAGAGGATGGCCAAGGCTGAGCCTATCTCTGGCCCCTTGAATGGGCAGTTGGTTTATTTTGTCAGAGAAAAGGGGCTCAGGGCCAGTGTTACTTAACACGCTGCAGGGCTGATCTATTGTGTTTTCTTCCCAGAGAAGATTTTTGAGCTTAGAGGGGAAAAGATCCTGTTTTTTCTCTTTTCTTTCCCCAATACTCTATGACAAAGTAGCCATGCTGTTCCATGTAAAAGTTTGTTTTATATGATGTCTCAGTCCTGCAGAAGCCTGACAAATTTGCTTATGTGCATGGTAGGTTTGAGCTGTGGGCTAAGACCTGGGCAGTGCCAGTGCTCCAGAACAACTCAGATATCGCAAGGAATGTGCAGTGTTCTGGTCCTGCCAAGCCACTTGCTAAAGCTGGGGGAAGGCTACAGAGTTCCCCCATATATTTTCATTCTGTGTTTTCATTATCTTTGTTTCAACAGTGACTGTTCACTAGCCGGCTTGTGCTCTGTGACACTGACTTTACATGGTGGGTGAGAAGGCATACAGAACCCAAACTTTAATTATCAATAGAAAAAGTCTGCTGTGCTTGCACATTCACCTGCCAGATAAGCAAATCATATTTCATTAACTAGCCACAATTAACCAACACAGGGCAAATACCAAGTACCTGTATAGAAATTATATTCTTTGTAAACATTAAAAGTAAACAATAGAAGTAGTCACACCAAAGAATCTGGTGAGTATTTTCATCCATCTGTAAGCATGGAGATACTATGAACTCTGGGGCATTGTGTATTTAAAAGAAGATACAGTGGAAAAGGGCTAGATCTGTGCTGGAGATAAGCAGAATGCCAATAAAAGCTAAACACCTCGTACATGCACAAAGCTTTCCATCTCTTCTAGATACATCTGCTGGTGCAGATGCTCTGCCTGTGTGTGAGGAAGAGTTTCCTTCTGTTATTGCTTCCTGAGTGGATGCCCTAAATATTTCAAAGCAACATAGCAAGTCAGCATGAGGCTGAAATGCTACTGAGAGTCACATCTGCCTTCCAGTTTAGAGACCCTTACCTCTAGACTTACTAGACTTACCTCCTGCTCTGTATCACCTTGCTGGCCAGGTCTCGTGGAGCTGAAAGCTTCACTTGGAATTGTACAAAGAGTAAGAGCAAACAAGAGTGAGTGGTTGTTTCAACATTTCCATAACCTTCAGGCGCTCACTAGCTGGATCCCCACGTGCTTGATCCGCCCCTTACCGTGCTCTTGCTGTTTGGTTGCAGTCCGTGATGCTCCTGCTGCACAGCCAGCGGCGCTACATCTTCGAGTACGACCAGTCGGAGTCGCTGCAGTCGGTGACGATGCCCAGCATGGTGCGCCACGCCCTGCAGACCATGCTGTCCGTCGGCTACTACCGCAACATCTACACCCCTCCGGACAGCGGGGCCGCCTTCATCCAGGACCTCGCCAGGGACGGGCGGCTGCTGCAGACCTTGTACCCCGGCACGGGCCGCAGGGTCCTGTACAAGTACACCAAGCAGTCCCGGCTCTCCGAGATCCTGTATGACACTACACAAGTCACATTCACCTACGAGGAATCTTCTGGGGTTATTAAAACAATACATTTAATGCATGATGGGTTCATCTGTACCATCAGATACAGGCAAACAGGTTTGTCTGACTACTTTGCTAAAGTTTTTGGCTCCTTAAAATGTGACACTCATCATTCACGACACCCTGAACTTGCACTTACCTGGCATGAAATTCCACTATTTTTATGTTCACAGGTTCTTATATTTTATGTTTCACTGGAAAAATATGTGTGTATATCTCTGTGTCTGCATCCATAGGTGAACATAGCTGTCCCACTTGAAATACAGTTTTCTTTTTATTGCTTGGTATGGAATAGATCTTAGAATGTTTTGTTGGTTTTATTCCTCTGTGTGGATATTTGCTAAATACTAAATCAAGTTGGTTTATTGTTTTTATTTTCAAGTTTCCGTGTTTACACCATAATATAACATAAATTCAAAAGGACTGCTTATATGAGGAAGGAAATCACTGTGTGAAATAAATTTAGTTTAGAATTATCTTGTAATAGAAATCATAATTATGAGTAAAACAGCATTCATTTAAATAAATATTAATAAAATATAAATAATTTGTAGGGCAAGCATTAATAAAAGTTTGTGAGAGAACAGTCTAACATATTCTTAGTTAATGGTATTTTCTGAGACAGCTAAGGAGTAGTAAGGCTAAAGGGCATACGTCAGGTCATGTCCTGTCTGTCCTAGATCTGGAGGGTAAGTAAACCAGGGGCATAAATCATTTTTTTTCTTTTTTTTCCTCTTTCCCATATTTGTTTTGGACAGGTCCACTTATTGGTCGCCAGATCTTCAGGTTTAGTGAAGAAGGGCTTGTAAATGCCAGATTTGACTACAGCTATAACAACTTCCGTGTCACGAGCATGCAGGCTATGATCAACGAGACGCCCCTTCCCATAGATCTGTACCGTTATGTCGATGTTTCTGGCAGGACTGAACAATTTGGAAAATTCAGTGTCATTAATTATGATTTAAACCAAGTTATAACCACCACTGTGATGAAGCATACCAAAATCTTCAGTGCCAATGGTCAGGTGATTGAAGTGCAGTATGAAATTCTCAAGTCTATTGCTTACTGGATGACCATCCAGTATGATAACATGGGTCGCATGGTGATCTGTGACATACGTGTGGGTGTAGATGCCAATATTACAAGGTATTTTTATGAATATGATGCTGATGGTCAGCTCCAGACTGTGTCTGTGAATGATAAAACCCAGTGGCGCTACAGCTATGATCTTAATGGCAACATCAACTTGCTGAGCCATGGGAACAGCGCGCGCCTCACTCCTCTGAGATATGACCTGAGAGATCGCATTACCAGGCTTGGGGAAATTCAATATAAAATGGACGAAGATGGTTTTCTCAGGCAAAGAGGCAATGAGATCTTTGAGTACAACTCTAATGGTTTGCTGAACAAAGCATATAACAAAGTGTCTGGCTGGACTGTGCAATACTGTTATGATGGTCTTGGAAGACGAGTTGCAAGCAAATCAAGCCTAGGACAACACTTACAGTTCTTTTATGCTGATCTCTCCAACCCAATAAGAGTTACTCACTTGTACAATCACACAAGCTCAGAAATAACATCCCTGTATTATGATCTGCAAGGTCATCTCATTGCAATGGAATTAAGCAGTGGAGAAGAGTATTATGTTGCTTGTGATAACACTGGGACACCTCTAGCTGTGTTTAGTAGTCGAGGCCAAGTCATAAAAGAAATTTTGTACACCCCATATGGAGAGATCTACCAGGACACTAATCCAGATTTCGAGGTTATCATTGGTTTTCATGGAGGACTCTATGATTCTCTTACTAAATTAGTTCATCTGGGTCAGCGGGACTATGACGTCATTGCTGGTCGGTGGACAACACCAAATCACCGTATATGGAAGCACCTGAATGCTGTCCCACAACCATTTAATCTCTATTCATTTGAAAATAATTACCCAGTTGGCAAAATCCAAGATGTTGCTAAGTATACAACAGGTAAAAGTAACCTGTCTTTCATGAAAATGTCTCTAATGAAAATAAAACTTTTTCTCGAATTGTGTTACTGAAACACAATTGAAACATTCCTGAAATTTTTGCAGCCAGAAAGTCTCTAATTTTAAATCTATTGAAGTAATTTCTTTAATAGATTGCATCTTACTGAGCTTGATCTGTTTTCTTTAACATTTATTGTAACCAAGAAAATAATTAATAGCTGCTTCTGTTGCTTTTCTCAGTGCTAAAATTAGGGGAAGAATGGAAGCAGCTTAATTTGAATTTTTTCTGTTCTAAGTAGATAGAAGGAATGCCATTGATTTGAGTATAGCTATGCTGTGTAACCAAATAATTTCTTTGCTACAATAAATGCTGTAGCTAGTGCAGGAAACATAAATTGATGTGAAATAATTATTTATGCATAGCTGGAATTTCTGCAGGCTGCCCTCACTTTTTCTAGGATTTATGAGCCTTTTTGCCAGCATTCTTTTCTTGTTTTGTAGACATTGGAAGTTGGCTAGAGCTGTTTGGTTTCCAGTTGCACAACGTGCTGCCTGGATTCCCAAAACCAGAGATAGAAGCTTTGGGGACAACATACGAACTTCTACAGCTTCAAACAAAAACCCAGGAGTGGGATCCTGGAAAGGTTAGCAAACATTCTCTTCAGCTGCTTTTAATACTAAATTAAGGAGTTTTAATTAAAAAAATCGGATACCAAGGAAAAAATGTCTTTCAATGTAATAGGCAAAGTAAATTGTTTAAGAATGCTAGAAACTTTAAGGTTGTCAATTACATACTGGCATCAGAGTGGAGGAGAGGTTCAAGGAGAAGCTTTTGGCAGCACAGTGAAGAAAATTTGCAGTTATTTATAGAGAAAATATCCAAATTTGAGGTGCAGGATGGGCAGAAGGGTAGAAGTGTTTGTGCGAACATTGAAAAAAACCCACGGAAAATCTTGTGGAATTAAAAAAATAAAACAGCAGATTTTCATCTTCGTTAGCAAAGATGCGACAAGCACTGGAAAATCACCGAGTGTATAAACAGCTTTACAACTCAGTACCTCTGCATAATTATTGCAGGAAACAGAAATGCTGCTATGGATTTATAAGGGGTCTCTAAATCATAGTCTTACTCCAGGGCTTGTTTTCAGTAACAAAAGAGACAGGCAATCAGTGTGACTGCAACAGGACCAACTACCGATATTCGGAGCAGTCATTCACATTTTGCATATGAGCATCTGTTAACAAAGGTATATGATTTTGTAAAGATGCCTTTCTTCTATTGTAAAGAAAGCATAGAATGAAAGAGAATCATAGAAAGAAAGAGAAGCATAGGGCAACTGAGAGTTCACATTCATGTTCCCAGCATTTAAGACAGTTACCATCCACCAAGTACAGAAGGCTGGAAGGTCAGAGCTCATGCCAGATGTAGGAGCATGTGCATGGAAAGTTATCACTTTGTGATGTTAAGCTATTCCAAGGCACAGAAAAGATGTAGTGACAGGTATAGTGTTAATAGACAGAGAGCTGAAGTTTCTTCTAGCTTCTATGGGGAGCAAGATCTACAGATGTGATGTACTTGTCTACTATTCTCGTGTCTCAAGAACTTCACAACGTGCTTTCCTTAAAGAATGGGCTATAAAATTCATTACCATGGTTCTACAGAAGATGTAATTAAACACACAGAGACTAAGCAGAGCCACGTGAAAGGGCGTAGCTTTGAATTCAGTTTTCCCTGTGCTGCTAATGGATGAAAAACCAGCCATTAGAATAACAGTTCAAGGGGGAGGAAAAATAAAAAAACAAATACAAAAATAGCATTTGTGATAAATACACTTCCATTTGTTTCCTAGAAATGAAGGAGTCCAAGAGACAGAAAGCGCTACCATAAGCGATTAAAAACCCTGTACATATGCCAACATTCTTTAGGTGTGCACGATACTTTCCAAACAAATTGAACATCCATTCTAAGCAATTAAGAGATGAGCAGGGTGAGATACTCTAATGAACTTCAAGGTACCTTGCCTTCAAACTTAATTGATACTTTCTTTTCCAGACCATCCTTGGCATTCAATGTGAGCTACAAAAGCAACTCCGAAACTTCATATCCTTGGACCAACTTCCTATGACACCCAGGTATAGCGATGGCAAGTGTTCTGAAGGAGTGAAGCAACTGAGATTTGCAGCTGTTCCTTCAGTATTTGGAAAAGGCATCAAATTCGCTATAAAGGATGGTATAGTGACAGCTGACGTTATCGGGGTGGCTAATGAGGACAGCCGGCGCATTGCTGCCATCCTCAACAATGCTCATTATCTGGAGAACCTGCATTTCACCATTGAGGGCCGGGACACCCATTACTTCATCAAGCTGGGCTCTTTGGAAGAAGATTTGGCCCTGATTGGCAGCACCGGGGGGCGTCGCATCCTGGAGAATGGCGTCAACGTGACGGTGTCGCAGATGACGTCAGTGATCAATGGCAGGACTAGACGCTTCGCCGACATCCAGCTCCAGCACGGCGCGCTCTGCTTCAACGTGCGCTACGGAACCACGGTGGAAGAGGAAAAGAACCATGTCCTGGAGATAGCCAGGCAGCGAGCCGTGGCTCAGGCCTGGACTAAGGAGCAGAGGCGGCTGCAGGAGGGGGAAGAAGGAATTCGGGCATGGACAGATGGAGAGAAACAACAGCTTTTAAGCACTGGGCGGGTACAAGGCTACGATGGATATTTTGTTCTATCTGTGGAGCAGTATCTCGAACTTTCTGACAGTGCCAATAATATTCATTTCATGAGACAGAGTGAAATAGGCAGAAGGTAACAAAGAAAATCTCTGCCTTTGCGTCACCAAAGACTGCCTGTTTTTAAACGTAAAATGGTTTATTGTATTGGTTTTTCTAGATCAGAACTCTGTATATATAAATATAGAGGAAAAACATATCCAACTGCCTTTAAATGTGACAGAAGATGGTATTTTAATATTGTTTGTTTAACTCTTTGAGAGATGACAGTGACAATTTTTAGTTCTTGTGTGGCAGTATTCAAAAATTTCAGAAGCAGAGTCCTGCGAGCCGAGCGGCGCGACCTGCGCGCAAGGTGCCCAGGGTGACACTTCACAGCCCTGCAAGGCAGAGGCAAGTGCCATGTGCTCTGCCTTCTCCTAAAAAAACACAAGTTTTTTGTTGTTGATTTAATAATTCACCAGTTATTTAAATGGTTACAGATCCTGATTCTGCAACCCATATTTACTGAGTGTCTTTTATTCCAGTGAGATCTCCCATAAATTCAAGGGATTGCATACAGAAACCAGACTGTGTATGGAAACTTCACAGCTGCTCACCAACCCCACACATGTCCCTCACAATTAAAAGCTAAGGGATTTTCTAACCTGGGAAATCTGACTTGGGTTAGATTCAGTATGTACAAGGATGTCCCCTATGGCCTTTGCTCAGCTGTGGCCACCCCTCAGCCACTCCATGCTGAGCATCACATTGTGTCCACTTGTGCATGTCAGGCCTCTCTCCCAGGGTTTTCCTCAGCACTGGGATATACTGGGGTCTGACAGCATGAACAGAGCTGCCAGTCTGCTTGGTGGCACTGTGCTGGTCAGGCTTCAGCCAGACATGGGGTGGCTAAAGTGGGCTTAGTGGGCACTGTAGTCTTCAGGAGGCTCTCCACTGTCATGTGTGCTCCAGGCTGGGCTGTAACCCAGTGCTTTGGGGACACCCCATTGGAAGCCCTCACGGAGCAGTATCAGACTGTGCATCATCAGTCCTGCCTGTAGTCACTGGGCCAGGACTTGTCTTTGCACAGATGATTTGGAAGATGCAGTGTTGTTGGGTTTAAGCATCATGCTCTTTTCATCTCAAATTAATAATCCTGGTTTAGTACTCATTTTTTCGAGTCTGAAGAAGATTGGTGGGTTGGGAGTTGATGAACCTAAGTGTGGATAGTAAATATGTTGATAAACGTAGAACATTTTGGGGATGACTCTTCACTTTTCAGCTCAATATCTAGAGCACGTAGAAAAGCATTATATTGCATGGACAGACATTTTTATTTCCCAAGGTAACATGCCCTACTGGCACAGTTACTTCATAGCAGCATAGGTGATCCTTCCTCCAGCTTGTCATTTTTAGAAGACCTGATTATCAGGAGGTGGGTCAGGCACACAGGGAGGGGGGAATGGGCAAGCAGTTTTCCAGAGGGATCTAGAAGTTTTGTTATAGAGCCTGTGTATCCATAGCAGTGAAGTTATTGCACATTTCTTTCAGAACAGACATAGTAAATATATTGGAACAATTTCTGCTTGTATTTACGGAAGCCAACAAAGTGCATTCTTTATCTTTCTGTCTTTTTTCCCCCAGTTTTCTTTTTTCCATTGTTTTTGGGCAAGTGGAGCAGACTGTACCCAAGTTAGAGATGAGCCTGAATTGGCACCTGAGATCTGAGCCCCTCCCTGGGGTTTGAGCTCAGGTCTCAGCCTCAGCCCATTAACATCTCTTCCCAGATTCCTTTTGCTCCCCTGGGAGCCAGTGCAGCTTTGGGGATGCAGGATCAGGCTGAGTGGGAGCCTGGTCCCTGAAGTCCTCCTCTGTCCCCAGCCAGGGGGACCTGTGGACCAAAATCTGCATATACACATTCTGATCAGGCTCATCATTAACTAATGTACAGAACAAGGAGCTGGCAACATCCAGGTTTGACAGCTCAGATTTCTGTAATTTTCCATAAAATCACAGAGAATTTGAATACCTCCACACCAGCCTAAAAATGGACCTTCGAATCCTTGAGCCTCTAATACACTTCTAATCAATGGAAGAATAATTTATGAATTGTATATAGAGAGTGCATTCATAAATGTGATGATGTATTTTATCACTGATCCAAGATGTCAATATTAGAGTCTATTTTACTTATATTTTAAGCAATTATACTTTTTTGCAATTCACTAATGAGGATCATTTTCAAACTGCTTTAAATATCCATTATAAACAAATATTTGGAGCTATTAGAGTTACCTTGAACTGTGCATTTCTAGTATGTAATACATATTTAGTTAGCTTGTGCCTTTAGTTTCTTAAAGTTATATTTGTATTATATGCAGGAAATGCACTTTGTATTACCTACAGTTGTGTTTTTTAATACTGCCTTGACTACTGTTGTTCTCATGTTATGCCAAAAGGTCAAAGAGTTAAATGTGTTACCAGTTTGTCTTTGAAAGTAGATTTGGCATTTTCCCATTTCCTGGGTGCAGTCTAAAGTACATTTTGAACAATATTTCTTATGAGAATACAGTTTCATTAAGACTCACATGACAGTACATGGCCCAGTTACAAAAGCAAAAAGAAATGCCTTCATCAGAACAGTTCCTTAAATTTAGGAAACTGAATATAGATGTCGTGTTGAGATGACAGTGCTCAAGAAACAAGTTATTGCTGAAAGAGCAAGGATAGGAGATTGAAGTCATATTGCAGCTACATATGGGCCAGCCAGCAGTGATTTGTGAGAACTACATGAAGAAATACTTTTGGACCATCTTGTTCATGAACAACCTCAGATGGAGGCAGGGAATATTTCAGTCTCCATTTTTTCTCCTGAGTAGTTAGAGCAATTTCTCAATGGGTTTTTTGGTGGGTTTGGGTTTTTTTATGTAGTTCTCCTTTTATTTTATTTTTTTTTTTAGTTTTGTATTTTGCACTGTTACCTAGAGACCCAGTGAGAAAAAAAGAAAAAAAATAGCATGGAAATTTTTACTGTTATTTAGATCAGATAATTTAATGCTAGCATTCTGCACTGCAAACAGGGTTCTGAAAGAGGGAAAAATAAAATAAAATAATTAAAGTATAAAATAAAAATAAATAAAATCCACTATTGCACACTATCCTGTAGCAAAGTACCTACCATGAGAAATACACACTATATTTTTTATGACAGCCAAACAGATAGTGTGTACAAGTTAACATTTCCTTTGCTTTCATATTTATTTAGTAAATCTAGAACATTTCAAAGTTATAAATATATATATAGATATCTATGTAGAACATAGCCAAATAAATATATATGAAGTGGTCGATGTGCAACTGGGTATACACACCTTGGCTCTTTGGTTTTGAGCTCTCTTGCATCCCTCAGCTGGGCACTGGGCAGAGGTGGCCTCGTGGCCATGCTCTGGGGTCCCACCCTGCAACCCCTGCCCCAGGGCTGGGCCAGGGGCAGCAGCTCCTCCACGGTGAGCAGTGGGCATTGTTGGAAGCCAAGGTGCTGTTCTAGAAGGGAAAGTGGTTTAGGCAGAGGAGCTCATGGTTTAGCTGAGCCAAAGGAGACAGGCAGTGCCCAGGGGTGTCCGTGTGTCCGGGGCATTCCCCAGACTGCAGCTGATCCGATGTGGTGGCACCCGGGTGACACGCAGCTCAGGCTGTGCCAACAGCCCCAAGGGTTTTCCCATCAAATGCTGGCTGTTATTTAAATCTCTCCTTGATACAAAACATTACCAGGTCAAAAGCACCCTGACTGCCAGTGGAATCACTTTAAGGCAGAAACTAGGAATGTTTCTGGAAATGGAATTGCTGTGGATTTGTCTGGGCATTTGTCACCTGCCATTATTTGTCTAAGGAAACATGTTTGACAATTTCCAGTTTTTCCTTAGATCTCGTGATGGACTTTAGCCTTTTAATAAATGTTAGTATATCAGATCGTGTCCTTGACGGTATTTTACTTGTATGAACCATGATAAAACATTAAAATCTTCATACTCTTCTGGCAGAAATGTCAATAAAAAAGAAAAAGAAGCATAGCATACAATATATGTCAAAGTAATGTTCCTTTTTAGCTTTCTCATCAACAGTAAAAAATGTTTACAATGTATGCCAAGATCTTCACTTTCTGTCTAACACCAGTAAGAGGTTCTGATCTTACAGAAATTGTGTTATAATGGCCTCAGCCTCGTTGCTAGGAAACAATAGATCCCAATTTTTTTATTCCTGCTCTAACTCCTGTGCTGAATAGTGACTGGATACTGTACAGGTTTATGTTATATGGCTGCAGTTAAATGGTCTGATGCATTTTGCTCTGGGTTTCAGACCAGAAGCATGCATTTTCTACAAGAACATCCCAGCAACACACTGTAAATATTGAAAGTTAATATATTATGTGTCGATATTTGAAAAAGAAAGTACTTTGACTATTTCATTTTTAAAAAATAAAGGTGCAAACTTATGGCATGTGATGTTGTCTTTGTTTACACCAGTTTACATCAGTATTTGAGGTCATGTAAAAGGTGCTTCCATAAAGCTAAAGGAGGACTTCAGCCAATATTGATTGACTCAAAAGTTGGGGACAGGATGTTGCTAGGCAAGATTTAATTTTACTTCTGATTCACCAAAGTTCATGCTTATAACTCTGCAGGTTTTACTGCAGGTGAAATCCCAGCCAGTTTCTGTGTAAAGGTTATTACATTTCATCAAACCAAATGTGAGAGAGAAAAAATATGCTGTTAAATGCCTTTGCACTCCTGATAATAGAGTGGGTGAAGGCAATGTTTCTGGTAGTGTGAGTAGCAAAGTTTAAGTATCTGCATGTTCTTTAGAGCTGACTCAAATAGATGATGTATAATTCTGCATTATCGAAAGTATGTACCCAGGAAAATAAAACATTGAAAGCCCAGTACATGCAGCAGAGAGAAGGAGCACATGAGTGAAGGGGCACAAGGAATGCATAAGGCTAAAAAAATGGTTACATGGTGAAAAACCCAGCTGGGCTGGGTAAGAACCAAGCAGGAGAGCTGAAGCTGTGCTGGGTGGATGAGAAAGAAGTGATTCCAAAGGGGGTGGATGCTCCCGTGGAAAAGGGAAGAAAACCATCCTGGGATATCGTATTGATGGAATGCTGCACAATCTAGACAGGAAGCAGGGGAGGGCTTAGTGGAGCCAGAGCTGAGGGAGCATCACTTGCTGCAGGGGAGCAGCATTGCCTTTGCTGGGGAGAGAGCCAGAGTGGGGAAAACACGGTGAACTACAAGCCACTTGCCAGAGCTGGGGCTGTGGCAGCGAGGGGATAGGGGTGGGAGGGCTGGCAGGGGAACAGGGCAGCAGCGAGGGGCCAAGCCCTGTGGGGCTGCAGCGTGAAGGAGAAGGTGGGAAGGAAGCAGCAGGCAATACTGACATCATGTTGGAAGTCATACCCACAAAATGCAGCTGCTTCTCTCTAAAAGGATCTGTAGCTTTTCACACCTAAGTCATTGTAGGAAATCAATATAATTTCCCTTTTACTGTTCCCATAACCAAGCATCTACTCATCTCACAGGCACCATCAGCTTCTCTCTGTTTCCACCTTGTTTAAGCCTACAGCAATTCCAGACCCTTGGGTACCCAAAAGAAACAATACAAGCCTCTGTCTTAATAATTTACACCAGAAATGGAAACAATATTCTCGGCTTTAAACAGAAATGGCATCTTCTGGCCTATTTTATGTATTTTTCAGAAGAACAATGTACTTCTGGAGTCAACCACAGTCAAACCAGTTATCCTCGGCTCACTGCACTGCAAAGCAGGCAGGCAGCTGCTGCTTGTGTGCTGCAGGTTTTCCACATGCAGCCTCAAGTCAATAGGACAGTTCTATAGGAAATAGCTCCTGGGCAAAGTTCTTCCCACTGCTTGCATCCCTACCACTGTGCAATCATCTGCCAGGGATGATTTCCAGGCACACCTGCTCCTGCTCCCAGGAGAGGCCAGATGAACAAGGGTTTTAGACCCAGCACTTGGAAAGCAGAAGAGCTCCCTGGGAAGGCTGGGGCTGCACACACACACTGCCAGCACCCAACAGCTCAGCGGGCTTTGGGGAAGCATGGTTTGTAAAGCTGGAGAAGAACTGCCAGGGACCAGATGCCACAGGCTCACAGCAGGCTGGGAAACCTTTAAGGCAGGGAGGAGAAGGGAAAGCTTCAATGGGCACAAGTGACAGCAAACCAGGCAGTGCATTTGCTGCGTTATGTAACAATAAAAAAACAGCCTTTAAATATTTTATTAAAGAGGAAATCATGCTGGATCTGCCACTGTACGGCACTGTATTAAGATAAAACTAATTTCAACCAACAAGCACACGTACAAAGAAGGCACAGAGCAATACATGTACATGCAGTGTAAAATACAATGGGACAGTTCACCGTAGATGAAATTTGGCTTTCAATTAGACAGAAACTGGTAATGAACTGAAAATGCCTCAACCACAACTTTGCAGCAACGTAGCCCACTAGTCCCTCTTAAGATGGAGCTGTTCATTTATTGCACTTGCTCCTATTGCTGGTTTACAAGAAACATGTGCTTCACAGAAAATCTTTTATCGCTTGCACTGTCTCCCTCACACACTCAGAGGGGTAAAAAGGTCAACCTTTCAGTTTTATCAAGTGCTGCTTGGAGCATCCCCACTTCGCTGAATCCTGGACTTGCAGCCCACTTAGTTCTGTCATTGTTCACATCCAACTTGCCTTTAGTAAGGTAAAAACAAGGCAGGTGTGGAGCCTCCAACTGTGCCACCAAGCTGCAGGTGGCAATGTCTGGTGAAATTCAGTTTTGTTCTCCCTGAGTCTGCAGTCTGGCATTTCTGGAAAAAATCTCTTTCTCTCTTATGAAATATTTTCAGCCTTCCAAGATCTGCAGAAGAGAGAAGTATAGGCATAAAACATAACCAGAGCAACACAAAGGTGCCTATACAATGTTTAAGGGTTGTTTTTCTGTAATTATATGTATTTTTGTAGTCCATTTGCAGTCACTGTTAGTCTTCTGCTTTGGCAGGGAGCATGTGAGACTCACATTCTTTTGGTAACCAGGACCATTTATGTTTGTTGAAGCATGACCATTGGTGGCACAAACCAGCCATCTGGACCAGACACATCCCCCTTGCACACAAACAAGGCTGGGCTCTAGCTGTGTTCCCTCCCAAAGCCCACAGGAACTCACACAAGCCTACCTGGCAAAAATCCACATAGAGGTTGTCTGGACTGTGGACTTCAATGCAACACAGCCCTGTCTCCTCAAACACAGTCCCATGTCCTCAATCAATATAGGACACCTAGTCTGTTCAAAAGTGTTTCTTACTGTCTGCCAGTCCATTAGCACAGTGCCATCACACTTGTTCCACCCCAAGCACAAAAGGCATGTCCTCTGAGTTCTCCAGTAGCCTCATGCTGACCCTGCAGAGCTGATGAGTCCTGTAGATTCAAAACTCCCCTCTAGGAACCAGTGGCAGGGAAATGCACAGAGAGGAAAAGAAAAGCTATAATGCAAAAATAATATATTTTTTTAACTTCTATGCAAGAATGGCTTGTTTCAAGCACAGGGAACACCTAAGAGCAAAGAACAAGGCTTTCCACTTCATTGGGTGTTTTTGGTTACTCTGTGCATTACTTAAGCTCTTGGTCATTGGTGAAAACTACAGATTTTGTTGGAGGGCAGTGACTGGTTTGATGGGAAATCAGTTAGTGGGGATCCTCATGGTGTCACGTCTGGAATAACTTTAGAAACTGTATGAATGACAAACACACAGCCTGTTGTAGTGCATCTAAAAATCTTGGTACCTCCCAAGGGTAAAACTCACCTCTGGTTTGTGTAATGTGAGTTCCTACCTGAAAACCTTCTTTCCCTTCCCCCTTCCCATTGGCTGTGACCTCCCTGCATCCCCTAATCACCCCTGCCCCCTGGTATAAGAGATGAGACCCAGAGCATTTCGCTCTCTCTCTTGCCCTGGATGAACGAATAAACCCGGGATTACTCCAGCAAGTTTGAGCCTCCTGTGTCTAGATACTTTGAGTCCGTGTTGTATCCACTCCAGGACCCCCTCCGCCGCCTGTGCCCTGAGATGATCGGGACTCTCACCTCGGGGGGTGGGACACAGGGGTCCCATCGGGGAGAAAGATTGCAACAACAGCCCATCCAAGGCAAGGACACTTTAATGCAAACAATTCTCCTAAGGTTATAAAAGGGCATTTGCCCAATTCTGTATAATGCCAACCAGAACAAAGCAAAGCAAGATCCAAAGTTAAGCAATGTAAAATTAATAACTAATTATTAATTAAGAATGATCTTGAAGGGAAAAATATTTTTACTTGACAGTACAAAGGGAGAAAAAAAACATAAAAGATTTATCAGTTCATGTTTTTTTATCCTCTCTTGGGAAAAACCAAAACAAAACCAAAAAATATCCCACTCTAAGTTCAAAGCATTCTGAAACTTAAACTTCTACATCTTGAGCAATAAATTCTATGAAATACACATTTCTGCAAATGTTTAAAAGAAAACTCACAGAGTTGTATTTGTTATCATATAAATCATATAAATCATATAAATCATTCTGTTTTAAAGCATGGATTAGAGGAGATGCTGGAAGATGTGGTTCTGTCACACTTGGGGAGACATCCTCATGATGGCTGCAGGTGGAAGTCATAGCCTTCATTCCTCCCTAAGAGAAATAATCGCAAATATATGAACAGAGGAACACTGTAAGAAAATGGACAGTCCAGAAGGCTCATACCTCCATGAGTGAGGGTGATGGTGAGGGAAGGCAGCCAATGCTGCCGCAGCACTCAGGAATACATATTCAAAATCCATTTTCTTATCACATTGACAGGCCCTATCTGTAAACAGCACTTGAGTGACAGCATTTCAAATCACACAATATCAAAGTTAGGGCACATTTTTGGCAATGTCACTCTGCTGGCTAGTTCAGGTCAAATATACAAGTAAGTCTAAGACCTCTATCCCTGCCACCATGGAGGGCTCTGCTCAGCTGCAGCCAAGGTGTCCTCCCCCCACCAGTACCTGGGGAGTAGTTGGCTTTCATGTGGTTGACAACTGGGTTCTGCAGGGGTGTTACAATGCCTTGGTTGGGTTTCTGGAAGGCCGAAATGAGGTTGTGCATTTTCCGAAAGAGCCGCCGGTGGACCCCCGGCGCTGTCTGCAAAGCCGAAGGGGGAAGAGGTGAGAAGGGGTGCTGGATACCCAGCAGCTGTTCTGGCACACAGGCCTCATCCTCAGAAATGCACACATCTCCCAGGGAAGGAGCCAGCCATGGATGTGAACCGCCTGATGTGCCAGTTCAAGGTGAGTCAGTGAGCTGCACTGCTCTCTGCTTTCCCCGGGGCATCCCAGCCTTCCTACACTGAGCAGTTTCCAGCAGCATGGTGAGAGAAAGTTGGAAGAGGGACAATTTCTGAATCACTAGAAGAGAAACCCACACTAATTACCTGCACTCACCTGCCACACTGATTAGGCAGACTTACAAGTGACCCTTTGCTATTTCTGGCCCTGATTTATTCCAGCCAGTGATTTAACCTCCTTACCAATAACTTCTTAGCCTGTATCAGTAAGATAGTTCCATCGTAGAAACACCAATGAGAAAACTTAGAGATTGACCTGGGCTTACCACAGAGAGGGAGTCCTCACACCACTAAATTGCAGCAAGGACACAGTCTCTTTGCAAACCCTACTTGGAGCATTCAATACTCACTTGTGTGTTCATTGAGTATTCCTATCTACTTCTTGTACAAAGACAGCAGCCAAATGTTATCTATTTATTAAAAGTGGGAGTCTCTCTATCTCTCTACATTAGCAACTTTTCAAACAGTACAAAATGAAACTACGTGTGCTTTTAATCAAAAATCCGGTGTTTGTGTTAAATCCTTCAGGGTGTTCTCATAAGAACTCTTCACCAAAGTCAAGGGAGGACAAGCATGGGTCCTGTCATCATAGTCCCACTCAAGGGACACTGCTCTCACAGCAGCTGTGAGCTAAATCCAGCATCCCTGGCGTCTTCACACTGGTTGGGATTTCACCAGCACTGCTTCAAATACCCTGCCTCATCCTTGAAAGATGGGTGTGACCTGACTTTACTCAGAGACTAATCAGCCACAGGGAAGGAAGCAGAAGCAGGAAAGGACCAGCTGCACCTGGAGCCTGTTTTGGCCTTGGAGGCACACTCTATGGGCATAAGTTGGACCTAGGCTGCTGCATCTAACAGCTGAGGCCAGCGTGGTCTTTGCAACATTTACTTAAAAGTTTCTGTTCCTTAAGGGAAGGGTTGGTATCGTGGATCTGTAGCTAGGATCTTCTCCTTCAGTGAATGTACAGAGAAGCCTGGGCCTTCAGCGCACCTATGGTGTGAAACTCACATAAGGCTTGCCTAAATTACAGCCAGGGAAAGCCCAAAAGCCACACATAGAACATCAGTGCAGGTCACAGGCCAGACATTGTAGCAGGACTATATAACATCAGAAAAACCTCACTGCAGATGGTGATGTCACCTGGAGCTAAAGCAGGCTGCAGCCTCAGTCAGGGAATTACCCTCCACAGGACGTCCCTGGTGTCCTGGAATCCTTTCACAGATGCCAGTGCTTGCCCTGGCATGATGGGTGCACTGTCACCCTCATACTGCCCTGAAAAACTTCTGTCTTGGGCACTACAAATCCTAACCCTTACATCAACCACTAATGTCTTATAGAAAGAGTTAGTGGGCACTACTCCCAAGGGTCACATGGATAATTACCTACTCCACAGTAGTGTCAGTCACTTCTACCACCTAATCTGTTAGGAGCAACCCCAAGAATCAGTTTTGTCTTCCAGAATAACTTCTAATATAGTAATGGCCAAGGAATTATGCCTATCTAGAAATCACAGAATATTTGAAATAAGTGTTCATTAGCATACAAACAGAAAGCTAATTATGAATTAATACACATACTACATCCAAAGGAAAAAAATCATAAAATAGAGATTAACACCCCAATTTCATCAACCTAAATGTTGTCTGTATTACAAGTAATGTTTTTCTGCACCCAAATTACCAGTTTCTTTCAGATGGGGCAAAATATATTTTGTATCAAGTTTAGGCTACCCTATATATTTTTCACTTATGATTAATTAATCTGGATTAATGAATTAAAACACAGTACACTGAAAATTATTTCTTTAATATTCTGACATTGATGGTACATAGGATAGAAGGAAACAGATTGTGCTTGTCAAATTATAAAACCACAACATTTTTGCCATTTAAAATGATGCTAAATGATGCACTATTGCATTATGCAACAGCTGAAATGAAACAGGGAATTAATTTATGAGTTCTAGACTGTCAGAGGTGGCACCAAGACATCTTATAGATGGATGCACTCTAGATCAATTACCATCAATAAAAATTAGACAAGGCAGAAACATGAATAATTTGAATATATTTCATTAAATCTATAATCTATATCTGACAGGATGTAGAAATTTTCAGAAGGGAAATGAGAAATACACACCTCAACACTCCAGGATCCAGTTTCTGTCTGGGACACTCTGTAGGTATAAACATAACCCTGATGCCTGTGGGGGAAAAAAAAACAAAAAAAATTTTAAAAAATAATAAAAATAATAAAAAATAAAAACCTCAGGCATTTATTATTAATTTCTCCTGATACTTTTTCACAAGAACTACACTGCTATGTGAGAGTCAGCTCATCTGCTCGCTTTTTCTTAAAAATAAATTCACCTCTAAAGGCTCTAGGTAGCTAAAAAACCCACTGGCCAGATGCAGTGATAAACCTACTGGCGTTTTTTTGGATGAGAGGGATTGGTCTGACTCAGATCTAGTTTAGCAGTATTCAGTTATTTTAGGTTAAATGGTGTTTCATTCCCTTTTCAGAATTTTTATTATTTTTTTTCAGTGACATCCTTTCACTGACACACACCAGAAACTCTTTCCCAGCAAAAAGAAAAGGTGTATTTTTGACAGGTAGCATTAATGTTCTGTGACTCATTTAAACACAGATGTTAACAGAAGCAATGTCATTACTGTAATTTATTTGGAAAGCTATACCCACAAAAAAAGGAGTTAAATCAATTACTCTTTGCTTCGTTCATAGGTTCCCAACTTTCAAATACTGATAAAAGAGACATATAAGAGTATGGAATCATCCTTCTTTTAAAATCAGTCTTTGGGGAATAAGGAGCCATAGACTAAAACACAAGGCACAACTCGTGCCAAAGTCACTCTTGCTTCTCTCACAAACCCAACTCAGTGAATGATTTACATGTTAGATTACTACACTAATCTCCAAAAATTTACCTCCAAATCAATTAATAGCAGCTCCATGGGTACAACATTAGTTTAGATGGTATTGATACGCAGACAAAACCTCCCAACTAGTTAAAGTTAGAGAGTGTACGTCTATTATGATTACAATACCAGGCAAAATGGGGAGTAAGCCTCTCAAGGATGTGTGCAAAATCCATAAAGCTCTTGCCCTCTTTTATCTACAAAAGTCTTACATATTCAGGTAATCATGTACTATGCCCATACATATGCATTTCCTAACCCAACCTAGCCCCACTTCATATTAAAATGAGCTCCAAGTCCTGCACCTGCATAGTTTTTTCTAATTGAGTTTGTGGGTCATGAAATGGGTCAGTAGCCTTTTAAGATGATTCCAGGAACCTCTTCCTCATGTTAAACTTATCTTTGTCTTGTTGGCAGGCTCTCTAATCCTTTGGCTGTAATCCAGGCCTCCCTATCCTGGTTCTGGCTGGTTTCTGGGCCCAGGTACAGTTATGGTATCTTCATCTTCACAATGGCTCATCTTTCTTGCCTCCTTCTATAAACACAACTAAGTCAAGCAAATAATATGTTGCCTTAGCTCGATTAGGACCATCTAATAATTATTAATCCTTCACATAGTTTCAACTACCCCTCTTAATCAAAATATATTGCCTCTGCCTTGCTAGCTACATTCTTAGCTTCTAAGTTCTTTTAACCTTTTGATTCAGTATCACATAAGAGAGATTGTATTGAGTTGAAGCAGCATTTAGAGTGTGCTCTCAGGCACATGGTGTGATTCTTGGGGCATCCTGCACTGTGCCAGGAGTTGGACTTAATGATCCCAATGGATCCTTTCTAACTCAGCATGTTCTATGATTCTATGCTTCTATTTCACACTACATAGATTTACATGAATACACAGCAGGATTTTAGGGACCATTCCCTATTTGACCATCACTTCTTATTCCTAAGAAAGCAGAAATATACTGTATTTCTTTCCAGTTATGCATAGCATTATAGCTGTTACTACAAAATATGAGAAACCATCAATGACACAGATGTCATATGATTGAAGTTACTTATGATCTGTGTCATGGCTTCTGGAAAATTTCCTGTTTAAAAACCATTACAGCATCCTTTGCAAAGTGGTGTCTGGTACAATTTGCCCAAGCAGGAAGTTGTTAAGAGCTGGCACTCTGCTACAACCCCTCAAAGTGGGAGCAAAATGCCTGTGGTGATTTGTGAGTTCTGCCCCCACCACTCAACTCCCACTGTGATCAGACACAGAGGTGAAGGACACAAAGCCATTCCCTCCCATCTGGGCTGTTGCAGGGACAAGCTCACTGTGCACAGCTGAGACACTGCCATCCTCTCCTCAAGTATAGGAATGTGCCTGATACTGCCCCACAATCCCACCACAACTTCATCCACTTCTTCATGTCCACCAAGACAGCCTTTTCCCCAGACTTTCTATATGCCACCAGAAAGACATGAAAAGCAGCTGGCAATGCTGACTTCATGGAAACCTAAGGAGGAAAACTGCCATCACTGCTTTTCCTCCCTTTTTTCCCCAGCAAGCTGCAGTCCATCAGGGATTTGGACCGTGGGAAGAGTTGTGAACAACCTGTTGCAGCTGCAGGAGGAGGGAAGAATGTGGAATTGCTCTCCTGTCATGGCACCATGATCAGTGGTGTTTGAGGCCACAGCTCAAACCCAGTTGGTTAAAAGCACATTTCTCTAAGCCACTAGATTATATATGTTCTTGTTCAGGGAATCCACTGTCTACCTTTAGGGCCCTCAGACAGTCTTCTACCATCATGTTCTTTCTTAAAGACTGAGAGCTGTGCCTGTGTCATCAGCTTTTCATGATAACATGATGTTCACATTAATCTTTTTTTAAAAAATCACAAGCAGCTTTGCTGTACCTAAGTATGTAGAACACCAGCTAATACATGGTTACTGAAATGAGGATTTCACATGACATTATGTACTGGGAAATACCAGAGAGGTCCTGGCATTTTGTTCCATCTTTCTGAAGTGGGTATTTAACCTTCTCCACAGTGATTTTTTTTCCAAGTCTCAAAACCATCAGAATCAGTATCTATACATCTAAAACTCATTCTCTTGCCTTCTGTTTTCAATACTACACTGTGCATAAGGGTATGAACAACCTAATTTAGTGGGTGGCATCCCTGCCCATGTCAGGGCAAGATGGAACTAGATGATTAGATTAACTGGATGAATTAGAGGGTGTTTAAAGTCCCTTTCAACCCAAGCCATTTTATGATTCTATGATTCTACTACCCTGGCTTGGTTCTTGGTTTTCCCAAAAGAAATGTTTTTCCAGCTCCCTCAGTCCCTTTAAAATCTGATTTTTCCACAAACAGCACAGTTGTCTGGAAAGCTGCCATTTATTGTTTCTTTCAATGTTTTCTCTATATAAGAGATTGCATGAGTTGAAGAGGTTGAGGGGCTGTGGTACTGTTCTCACTCTGAGCTGTCTGTTTGCTCTCAGCACTCTGACAGACAGGTTTTCTAAGCAGAATGAATTGAAAAATAGAGGTCAGATAAAATAATATTCAGTATTGAAGTATGATGAGATACAAGACAGGCAGCTATCCTGCATTTTTCAGAAAATTACACTGTAAAATATTTCAGCTGAGCACAGGGAAAGCACAAAGGATAGTTCAGATTAAAAGCCCATGAGGTTCTGAGAAAGGAACAAGAATTTGAGAAGATGGATGCTTTGAGAACAGTGTGGAGAATCGGAGGAGAATGACATTGTTATCACAGCCTCGTGAGGGACAAGTGAGAGCTCTTCACTCTCCTGGCAAATGTTCATGATTTTCCCAGAGAAGGAAAGACTGAAAGGTCTAACGGATTTTACTGTGCTTAAGTTGAAAAACATAACATTATCATCTATTATTGGCACTGAAGCCACCAGGAAAGCAAGACACTGTGTAAATGGGAGATGATCTGGACTTCCACATCTGCCTCTTCAAAGGCAAAGCACAAAGGAAGGAAGAAGAGGATGAACAGCTAGGTCTTCCCATTGAACTATTTTCCCTTGGGACCTTGGTCCCCACAAAATGAATTACACCTTTTCTGATAAGTACTCTCCCAATGAATGTGATCTTATCAAAACTTTCTGTCATGCAGCAGGAACTTACTTCATTACCACTTCAAAGAGTTTTTTACCTTCCATTTACAAGTTATATGATTTTGGGCCAAGTTTACTGCTACATGGGAAAAAGCCTCCCACGAGAAAGGTTTTTATTATTTAATCTACCTAACATGAACTAAGATCAGTGCGGGCTGAAGGAAGATCAAGGTGTTTTTCTTAAAAGAAAAATTAACTACACAAAATTGAGATTGTAGAGGACATTACCTTCCAAAGAGTAAAGCATGTAACACTGGGCAAAAGCAGGCAAAAAGGTTCATTTACTGAAGCTTGAGTCTCAGGAAATGGGAAATTCCCCAGCTAACATGAGAGGACAGCTCAATTTCCTACATTTTACTCTCTTCAGGGCAGCAAAAAAGCTCCTGGAGAGACACAATGTTCCTATATGTAGTCTGATCTCAGTATGTGGTGTACCAGCACATCTTGGAGGAGGACCAGTTCATGACATCCAGGTAAAAATTCACTGAAGGGCTCCCCCATCCTTTCACCTGTCCCAAGGACAGACAGAGGCTCACTCACAACAGCAAAGCTCAAGGGACAGGAGCAATCATTAATAAACATCTTGATGAATGAAGCTTTATAAATTTTTGATCATAGGCAAAAAATGCAAAAATGCTGGTGAGGGGAGGCAGAAAAGAATCGTTGCTGTAAGGACAATACCAGATACCACTTATGAAAAAGTGATTTTGGTCATTAATGACATTTTTATGACATTTCATTTTTTTTTTGTCTCCATAGGGAAGGACATGTTATACCAGCTGGGAACTGCACTAACACAGTCTCTATTTCAATACTTTCCCTTGGAAAACTTTGTCAAAGGAACACCTAGGAAAAGTTGCTATTACAGGAACCAGTTAACTTTATATTATAGGCTTTTTTCTTTTCTTTATAGCCAGATAAGTCCTCCCAAAGAGTTACCAAGGCATAGTTCACAGATGACATACTGAAACACCATCTGTCTACCTGTCCTCTTCATTCCTCCTTTTCAGCTGTGATCAGACCTGTTAAAGCTGCATTTACTTTAACAGGTGAATGATTACAATCTTCTGCACCATTAAAATAGCCCGAGAACATTAGATGCATGCTGCAGATTAAAATTAATGATGA